AGAGCATGCGCTGTTACGCAAAAACCGCGATAGAGTGAAGCCGCGGAAGTCGAAGCGCGAAGTGGCGAGGGTTCACTGTATATTCAGCATACAGGTTCAGGGAAAGTCTCAACTCTCTATGGATGATATACTCAGTGAAAATTAAGAGATTATGACAGAATTTGGTCCCAAGTTTGTCCCAACTTAATAATTCAATTATCAGATACATTCTATTTTAAAGCCATAGAGTTACCTCACAAATAAGGGAAAACAGAGAGAATAGGAAAGATTAGAATAACCACAAATTAATGAAAATAAAAGTACACTTACTCCTCCCTTATCATCTATCTCATTTTCTAACATCTCACATTAATGACTAGTTAAAATCTACTACCAATAGTACACATTAATGTACATGTGTCAATAACCAACTCAGAGGTGTGACACAAAGATAATGTATGCTGTGATAGCTAAGGTGATGTGTCAACTTGGCTAGGCCATTATTCTTAATGATTTGTCAGTTATATAATGATATAATTTGACACTTATGCAATGATGTGATTTGATAGCTGTGTAATACTGTGATCATCATTTTGTAATCTGATGTAGTCATCGTTCATTTTTGATAATGCCAATTTTCGCATAACGACCTGGTGGAATCTACCTATATCAATAAATGAAGAGTGGGGTAGTTGGAACAAAAAGTCGACACCTTGTAAAATAACCACTAAAAATTATTAACAGTTAGGTAGTATTATCTCTTATTTAGCTGAAAGCCTTGGTAGGAATTGAGTTGGGTAGAGATGTAACTCTAGCTTTATATTTCTTGCCTTTCCTTTCTCACAATTCCTCTACCCGAGCATTCACATTCTTGAGTCACACCAAAAAAGTTACATCGACCAACTCTATGTTCCCTCTCTTCCTGTCCTCAAGCTGTCTACTCATATCTTCGCAGGCTACCACTACACCATTGACTCAGAAGTTGAAGAGGCTTTAGTAATTATAAACAATTAGCAACATGTTGTATACATTTTTGCTCATGTAGAGTAATTTCACATTTTTCATCAATTGAGAACTGTTATTTGAAGGGCTGTTGTCCCTCATACCAATTAACTTGCCTCCAAAAAAATTGCTATTTGACTATTAGATCTGTAATGGACCACTTTATAAGTGGAGGGTTTTCAAAATATGTTAAAAGTACTTAGACCTTTTTTCCCTAAATAAATCTTTCCTAAACCCACAGTAAAAAATATAGATAAGACAGTCATTCTTTTTATTTAAATCATTTTATTGGGGGCTTGTACACCTCTTATCATAATCCATACATAGTGTCAAGCACATTTGTACATTTATTGCCCTCATCATTCTCAAAACATTTGCTTTCTACTTGAGCCCTTGATATCAGCTCCTCATTCCGCCCCCCCATGAACCCTTGATAATTTATAAATTATTATTATTTTGTCATATCTTACACTGTCTGACATCTCCCTTCACCACTTTTCTGTGTCCATCCCCCAGGGAGGAGGTTATATGTAGATCCTTGTAATCGGCTCCCCCTTTCTACCCCACCTTCCCTCCACCCTCCAGGTATCGCCACTCTCACCACTGGTCCTGAAGGGATCACCTGTCCTGGATTCCCTGTGTTTCCAGTTCCTATCTGTACCAATGTACACACTCTGGTCTAGCCAGATTTGTAAGGTAGAATTGGGATCATGATAGTAGGGGGAGGAAGCATTTAAGTTGTATGTTTCATTGTTGCTACTCTGCACCTTGACTGTCTCCTCCCCATGACCTTTCTGTAAGGGGGTATCCAGTTGCCTACAGATGGGCTTTGGCTCTCCACTCTGCACTCAACCTCATTTACAATGAAATGATTTTTTGTTTGCAAAGTCATTCTTTATTGAAAACCTAGATGCATATTGAGGGGCAAAAAGAGTTAGCTAGAGTCTAGCCACTGGGCCTCCACTGTGCATGTCCAGAAGCAAACTCATGGAACCCAAGAGCCCTCAGGAATTTAAAAACATTGACATTTTCATCTCTAACAAAAACACCTACGTATGTTTTAGAATGGTAAGTAACTTAAAATTTAAGGTCTCAACAAAGAGGTTTTCTAAAATAAAAGCCACTGAAAATTATTTCATAAAAACGAAGGAAAAGAGAATTTTATAAAATAACTGGTCCTAAATTCACAAGTACAGAAAACACAATGGTAATTCTAAGATCAATATCAAACAACCAAAATAATTTGCAATTTAAAACTTAAAATTCTTATTCTGCTTTAACCATTTTGAGATAATACAAAGATATTTTATAATTTAAAAAAATTGAAAGACTTAGATTTACATACTTACCGAAAGCAACAACCCAAACCCACTGCCACATAGTTGATTGCCACTCATAGCAATCATGTAGTGATCCTGTAGGACAGAATAGAACTATTCTCTTATTTTATGAGGCTGTACATATTTACAGAGTAGGTAGTCTCATCTTTCCCCCTCAGAGCAGCTGGTGAGTTTGAATATCTAATCTTGCGTGTAGCAGCCAAGTGTGTAGCCCACGTTTGGTTCCACAATAATAAAAGTAGAAACAAGTAAACTTAAGATTTACCTGATGTTAAGTTTCTGGAGATTTTCTAGCTCTCTTATAGCAGATGGCAGGGATGTAAGCTGATTATCATGTATCTAAAATAATTATTAAAAGATAAAGTCATAATTCTTAGATTTTAAATTAGCAATATATTTACTCTGCATTGACTTCAATAATAATTTCATTATTCTAAACCAAACGTAGTATGTTCGACTACTAGCAATTAGTCTAACCCAAAGGTAATACGTTCGAGAGCAACTAGTGCTATATGTAGAAATGAAAGTAGTTTGAAGCTGACTAAACTGCTGTATGGAATTCATGAGGTGATAAGTCATTAATTTAAAAAATTACAATAAAAAATGTTACCTCATTGAGTGGGGTTTTTTCCAAATGAGAAATGAGGGGTTTAGGAAGCGACAACAGCCCCATGATGGTGTACTTTACGCTAACACATATATGAAAAATACATTAAAAGGACAAAGGGTACTTCTCTCGTGTTCTCTCAGAATCATACTATTTCCAAGTTGATATAGTCAGAAATTGAACTCCAGTGTTCCCAATGACAACACTATTAACCATTATGCTTAACCCAATTTCCCCTCTTGCATTCTACCCAATGAACATCAACGATTTTCTGTTAACCAAAGCCTGAATTTGGATTTACAGTCTTTTACACTAATGAGCCATACCTAATTATCAGTCAACTTACATCAAGAACAGTCAGTGCAGGCAGGAGTCTGAGATCATCTGTAAGCGACTGAAGTTTATTGTTTGATATGATTAGTTTGGTCAGATCTGTCTGCTCCCACCATCGCTCAGTAGCACCAAATGAGACGTTCTGATTAGCTTCTTCGGGGATATCTACATTTATTCTCCAGACACACTGAGGTACTATTTCCAATATCACCATCCCCAGTAAAAAAGATGACAATAAGAAATAAAAGATATTAAGTGATATTCTTTGATAAGAGTTGCTTAAGCACTGAAAAATTCAAGTTACTGAAACATTATTTTTAAATATCAGTAGATCACACAGCAACGATTTACGACTAAATTAGAACAGGTTTATTTTATTTTAAACATTAAATATGAAAAAATAAATATTTAATTAACTTTACATAATAGATCACATTTTAAAATTTTAATCAACGATAACCACTACCATCAAGTTGATTCTGACTTATATAGCAACCCGATAAGACAGAATAAAACTGCCTCTTTGGGTTTTAGTGGGAAAAAGACCGGGCTTTCTATTTCACCAAAGAGCAACCATCTCGGAAACCCAAAGGGGCAAGTTCTAACCTGTTCTCTTGGGTCACTGTGAGTTGGAAATGACTTGATGGCGGTAAGTTTTAGGGGACGTTTTCAGAAGTTGTAAATATTTACAAGAGCAGTAGGCTTGGACTGGCTAGTAGATTGGAAATGCTGATCTTGCGATTAGTAACTCAATGCATAACCCACCAGGGATCCTTTAGTCTATTACATTAGCTATGTATTTTGCATCACATACTGTGGTAGACATACAAGGCAAATAAAGCAGTCAACCGCTTAGTTAACAGAATCATAAAGAAGGCATAGAAATCAACATTTATATTGTAATGCTATAACTTTTATAACAAAAGCACACCCTAAGGATGAGAGGGCGGCTGATACTAAGAACGACTAACATAAATATTTAGCAATCTTCAAACATACTAACTCACTTAAGCCTCAGAACAACTCTATGTATAGGTCAACCAATCAGCCATCCACTGCCATCAAGTCGGTCTCAACTTGTAGTGACTTTGTAGGACAGCAGAACTGTTCCAGAAGGTTTCCGAGGTGTAAAACCTTATGGAAGTACAGTCTCATTTTTCTACCATTGGGTTAGAGGTCCAATGTTTAACTCATTGAATCACCACATGTGCTAAATGTTGGTGCTGTCAAGTCCATTTTGAGCAACTCTATACAACAGAAGCATTGCCCAGTTCTGTATCATCTTTACAACTGTTATATTTGAGCTTATTGATATAGCAACTATGTTAGTTCTTCTCAGCAAGGATCTTCCTCTTCTTTGATGACCCTCTACCAAGAATAATGTCCTTCACTAGGAATTGGTTCCTGCTGATGACATGTCCAAAGTATGTGAAATTGTCTGTCTCCCTGTGCTTGCTTCTAAGGAGCATTCTGACTGTAAGTATTCCAAGACAGATTTATTTATTCTTCTGGCAGTCCATAGTACTTTCAATATTCTTTGCCAACACCATAATTCAAAGGAATCAGTTCTTCTCTGATCTTTCTTATCCATTGTCTTCAATGGATTTCAGATATGTAATAAGTGACTGAAAATATCACAGTGTGGGTCAGGTACACCAAAGCCTTCAAAGTGACATTTTTTTATTTAATACTTTAACGAGATTTTTGTAGAATGTCCCAATGCAATATGTGATTTTATTTGAGTGCTGTTTTCATGTGTATTGATCGTAGATCTAAGTAAAATGAAATCTTGACAACAATCTTTCCTCCATTTATCATGCTTTTGTTGATCCAACTATGAAGCTGTCTTTACACTGAGGTGTAGTCCACATTGAAGGTCGGAATCTTTGCTCTTCAGCAGAAATGCTTCAAGTCTTCTTCTCGTTCAGGACGTTGTTAATGAGCCCTTCTAACTCTAATGCCTGTTCTTCATAAAGTCCACACCAAAACAAACAAGCAAACACATTACCACTGAGCCAAATCCGACTCACTGCAACCCAATAGGGCATAGTAGAACTGCCCCTTTAGGTTACTGAGGCTGTAAATCTTTTCTGACAGCAGAAAGCCTCATCTTCCTCCTGCAGAGAAGATGGTGGATTCTAACTGCTAGTCTTGAAGTCAGCCCAATATGGCATCAGGGCTCCTTCCTAACAGTTCTATGACTCCTTCACATATTTACTATTACTACTTAACACTGTAAAGCAGGAATATAGCATATAGAAAATATCACTTGCTCAAGATTCTACAGCTAGTATGTAGTAAAACTGGGATTCACATCCTTGTAATGCTATATTACCTTCTTCTTTAACAATATTTTGAAAAAATCTGACTATGATAGATTATAGACCTCACTAGATGAAATATACAAGAATCACACTGACTACATCTATTGGAAGAAACAAAAAGTCAATTTCACCAGTGAGAACAAGGCCATAGGCTGACTGCATGCATAGCAGATCATAAATTGTTCATATGCAAGTTCAATTTGAAGCTAGAGAAAACGAAATCAAATCCACCAGAGCTAAAATACACCCCTGAGTATATCTTATTTGTATTTAGAAACCATCTCAGGGGCAGATTTAATGCACTGAACATTAATGACAAAAAGTCAGACAAGTTGGTGAATGAAATCAATGACACTGTATATGAAGATAGAAAAGGTTAATAAAACTATAGGAAACAAAGATAAGACCATAATAGATGTCAGAAGAGATTCTGAAACTGGCTCTTGAATGTACTTCAAAAATTTTGTGGAAAATTGAATTAAAAGATGATTGATTTTCTCTATGAAATTTTTGAAGTCCCTTATAAAGTAGCTAATGCACAGGGAACAAATGATAAAGTAAAACAGCTGAAGAGAAGATTTCAAAGGGCAAGTCAAAACATGCAAAAGAAGTGGAATTAGAAAACCAATAGAAAAGAGCATGCTTGGTATTTCTCAAGCTGAAAGATGTGAAGGAAAAAAAAAATCAAACCTCTAATTGCAAGGAAGACAGATTCTTTGGGCAAAATTCTGAATAACACAGAAAGCAACAAAAAGATGGAAAAAATATACAGAGTTGCTGTACTGAAAATAATTGGTCTATGGTCAACCATTTCAAGAGGTAGCATATGATCTAGAGCTGATGGTACTGAAGAAAGAAGTCCAAGGCACTGGCCAAAAGGAGCAAAGGCATTAGCTAAAAGCAAGATTCCAGGAATTGGTATAATGCCAATTGAAATGTTTCAACAAGTAGAGGAAGCATTAGATGCACTCATTCACCTATGCCAAGAAATCTGGAAGACAATTGCCTGGAAAAGTTCCACATTTATGCCAATTCCAAACAGAATGTGGAAAATATTGTACAATATCATTAATACCATATGCTAGTACATTTTTGTTAAAGATCATTCCACAACAGTTGCAGCAGTTGCAGACAAGGAGAGAGTCTGTATCTGGCCTCCAGTGAGCTATTTACCTCCAATTGTGCCTCCCAAATGAGGTCATCAAGCTTCGACCTGATTGACAGGCTAGTCTCCACCCCTTCGAAAGTTGACAGGAGATTATGCAACTGTCACAAGGATCAAGGACTGCAGCCTTCAATATGGATTGCAACTCAGTTTAAATAAGACAAAAATCCACACAATTAGACCAATAGATAGCAACAAAAGACTGAAGTTGTCAAGGATTTCATTTTACTTAGATCCACAATCAACACTCAGGGAAGCAGCCCTCAAATCAAAAGACAATGTTCACAAAAACAGCAACCTAGAAATCAGATGAGATCAGCAGCTGCATGCTGCATCACTGTCTGGGCCATCCATGGGCAGCAGCGAAAGTCAGGATGCCGGATTACAGTGAGGAGCAGCGCAAGGAGCTGGAGGCTCTAGAGTTCATCTACCCTGACTCCTTCACAATACTATCAGAAACTCCACCCAGTTTCACCATTATTGTGACACCTGGGGCTGGGGAAAATAACAAAACTATCCAGATTATGCTCAAGTTTACATACAGTTAAAAATACCCAGATAAAGATAAGGATGTTTCAGGCATTTGAAAATTATTAGCATTACAGGCAGAAGAAAACCTTGATATGGTAATGATCTTGAATATCAGTTGTGCAAGAAATCAAATATTAGATCAAATAAAATTTAGAAGAGAGGAAGAAAAGATGCTGAAATGCAACTATTATTCTGATAGCTTTCATTTTGAACTTTATAATAAACCGACCGTAATTTTTTTTTAAAAATCTGATGATGTATTGCACTGGGTAAATCTACTGCACGAGATGTCTTGAAAGTGTTGAAATAAAGGGATATTATTTTGAAGACTAAGGTGCACCTGACCCAACCCTTGGCATTTTCAATCAACTCATATGCATGTGAAAGTTGGACACTAAATAAGGCAGACTAAAGTAGCATCAGTGAATTTAAATTATAGTGCTGAAAAAGATTATTGAAAATATCAGACTGCCAGAAGAACAAACAAATCTGCATTGGATGAAGTATAGCAGAATGCTCCTTAGAAGCAAGGATGCCAAGACTTCATCTCAGCTACTTTAAACATATTATCAGAAGAGACCAGTCCCTGGAAAAGGATCTCATGCGTGGTAAAGTAGAGGACCAGAGAAAAAGAGGAAGACCCTCAAGGAGATGGAAAGACATAGTGGTTCCAACAATGGGGAGATGAAATAATATTTTAGCATTGGGAAGTTCTCTTTTACCTCATTCCCAGCCTCTCAAGTTAGAAAGATAAAAGTCAGGGCCAAAATAAAAATCATAATTTCCCCAACATCTGATAAGTAATTTTTCTTATTGTTAGGTAGCATCGACTCAGTTTCATTCAAGCAGAATGAAATACTACCTGGTTCTGTGCCATCCTCACTATTATTATGTTTGAGTCAATTGTTGCAGCCGCTGTGACAAATCACCTCATTGAGGGAGGGTCTTGCTCTTTTTCTCTACCCTTCTACTTTACCAGGGACACCTGGTGGCATACTAGGTAACAGAGAATGGCTAATCACATGGCCAGCAGTTCAAAGGCACCAGCTGCCCCGCGGGAGAAAGATGAAGTTGTCTACTCGGTAAATGAGTTTTGGAAACCCTGAGGTGCAGTTCGACCATGCAAGGGGTTGGGATTTTCCAGGGATTGGTCTCTCCTGATAAGAGGTCCAAGTTGAGTGTTGGTTATTAGTCGCAAATTATTTTATGACTTATGAAGCAAGAATCACTGAAAGCTATTCGTTTAATTTTTGGTCACAAACCCAGCCGCGCTCCTTCATCCGACATTTATGGGGAGAGGGATAATCGACACGGGCTGACGATATGACAGGTACCTGGCGTAGAGCGCAAAACCGCCAGCCAGGACCCTGAAACAAGCGACCCGATGAATGCGGCAGACCTAGCAAGGCTGACAGGCAGAACGGGGTCGTGCCTCCAGATCTTACCTTCACTAAGGTTCCTACCGGACAAATTTAACTGGCCACTTCTCCTCGCCGCCTTTAACAGTCCCTGAGGTACTGAGGCGGCGCAGTCTTTCCGCTCAGCTCTGAAACCTGCGCGGGTGTCCCGTTCTGTTTGTCCCTTCAGGCGCGACATGTTCAAAACCCAAGCTTCCAAACGCCACCGCCCAGCGCTGACGTTCTCGGGAAGCGCCGCTGCGCGCCCCGCCCCTTCCGCGACGCGGCGCGGGGCCTTCGCGGTGTGCGGCGCTTCCCGATGTCGTCACCGTTAGCGCCCGGAGTCGGAGGACGGAGAAGGCCTTCCGGTCGCTGTTGCCTGCGTTGTGTCTTGGAATTTGCTCAAGTAAGTGCGTTTAACGGGCGGGAGGCAAACTTTAACGCGTATGTTGTGCCCTCTTACTACCACACCACTGTTCTCCAGGTTCCTGCGGTGGCCGATGGTGGGCAGAGGGCAACCCTCTAGTTGTCCCTCGCTTGGCCTCCACTTGAGGCCTAAGCGCGGTCTGCAGCCTCTCTGGAGCAGAGCCTGGGTTGGTCGCTCGAGGTGGTGGCGCTAGTCTGGCGGCTAGACTGTAAGAGGGAGTAAGGAGAGAGTCAAACTGATTTCTTGTTCCTCGAGCTTACACTCTTACTCCTAGAAATAAGCACCTTGCTCCATTTTGTTGAATTTATAGCGTAGCGCAGGAGGTTATCAGAAAGAAAAGGTTTGTCATTAAAGTAATTAAAGAGAACAGTTCACTTTAGAACTTGAGGTCATAGTGCAGGAGAAGAAAATAAATCGGTGTTTGGTAGGAGTTTCAGTCTCCTTCTGAAACGTTTATTTTCATTGATTAATCAATAATTACTTAAAACTCCTCCTCGTTTAGTTCTTGGGTTCTTAGGTGTAAAACTTTGCTTGAAATCACTTTGTTTTGAAAAGCATGTACAGGTCTGTCTCAGGTTACTAGGCTGAGACAAACATACAACCCTAACAATCACAAGTTACTTTTTCAAAGGCTTACTTCTTATCAGTTGTAATTAGCTTGCTTTAAGCCACATGTTTTTTAGAAACAAAATGATCGCACCTGCATGTATGTAGAATGACAGCTCAGAATAAATATTGTTTTGTTTTCTTTGTGTTTTATTATTTTTTTAGCAAAAGTGACGATCACAGCAGCTTGTGCAAGGTCAGTATTGAAATTTCAGTTTGACAATAATATCTCCCTTTTGTCAGCCTTAATGCAATTTAATGCCTATTTGTGATCTCTTACACAATCACCCATTTTGTATATGAAAACACTGAGGCTAAAAGGGTGTGAGTGCCATGGCCAGGGATTTCAGCCTGTCTGTTGCATAGATTTTTTTTTGCTAACCACTATAATTTGTGCATGTGTTTGTTTTTAATGGTGCAGTTTGAGTCTACTGAGACGATTCTGATTTAGGAAAAACCCATGTGTGTCATAGTAGATCTGCTCAATAGGGTTTTTCTGGTTGGTTTTAGCCAGGTCTTTCTTCTGAGGGTGTACCTCTGGGTAGGGTAAAATCTGCAACCTTTTAATTAGCAGCCAAGTGTATAGTACATGTGCCATACACTCCATGACAAGTGTCATGGCTCTTATTAGTTAATTTTCAACCAGGTTATATTCTGGAAATCATTTTCTGGAACACTTTGTGTTTTTAAAAAGATTCATTAGAGGGTGGAGAGTGCAGAGTGGAGACCCAAAGCCCATTTGTAGGCCACTGGACATCCCCTTACAGAAGGGTCTGGGGAGGAGACGGACGAGCCAGTCGGAGTGCAATGTAGCAACGATGAAAAATACAACTTTCCTCCAGTTTCTAAATGCTTCCGCCCCACCCATTATCATGATCCCAATTCTACCTTACAAATCTGGCTAGACCAGAGGATGTACACTGGTACAGATAGGAACTGGAAACACGGAATTCAGGGTGGATGATCCTTTTGGGACCAGTGGTGTGAGTGGCGATACTGGGAGGGTAGAGGGAGGGTGAGTTGGAAAGAGGGAACCGATTATAAGGATCTACATGTGACCTCCTCCCTGGGGGACAGACAACAGAAAAGTGGGTGAAGGGAGATGTCGGACAGGGCAAGATATGACAAAATAATAATTTATAAATTATCAAGGGTTCATGAGGGAGTGGGGAGGGAGGGGAAAAAATGAGCTGATGCCAGGGTCTTAGGTAGAAAGCAAATGTTTTGAGAGATGAGGGCAATGAATGTATAAATGTGCTTTACACAATTGATGTATGTATGGATTGTGATAAGAGGTGTATGAGCCCCTAATAAAACGATTTTTAAAAAAGATCAATTAGAGGAAAACTTTTATAGAAAATAACAGTTAATCTTGGAGGAGGTGAATCGCTCAGGTATCTAATTTTATAGTATAGTCTCCTACTGTGATGTGAATTCTTTAGCTGAACATTTTGTTAAATAACCACGTGTAATTTTCCCAGTTTTATAGAAACTGCACAATGTAACATGAACTGACCTTTATCAAAAAAGAGTCTATTAGTATGAATTAGCTCTTTATGTCAATTGCATAACTTTTAAAATAGTGGATTTATAGACATTAAAACAAAATGAAATGTGTCGAATCTGTAGACTATTGCTCCCTTTGTAACAGAATTTACCTCTTTATTATATTCATTTTGTTATATAATAGAACATTTAGCTCTTCTAACTTCTTTACTGAAGGAGCCTTTGTGGTTAAGTGCTGCTAACCAAAATTTGGTGGTTTGAACCCACCTTTCTACCAGAGAACTGAGTTGGCAATCTGTTTCAGTAAAACTTATAAGCTTAGGAAAACCTATGGAGCAGTTCTCCTTTGTTCTTTAGTGTAACTGTGAGTTGGAAGTGACTGAAACAACTGCTTCTTTGTTAAGTGAAAAAACTAAACAAAACAAAGTATGTTGATTCTAAGAATTCCGTTGACCACCTGATGAACAGGATTTAAACTCTAATGTGATTCCCTGCTCTGGTCTTAGAATTTGTTATTACAATTCACAGAGGCTGATGTGCTTCCTCCATGTGGGCTTTGCTGATTACTTATATACATGGTTGCTTGTTGTAAGACCCCAGGTACTATTCTGTCTGATAGCTGGATACCATCTGCTCTCTTCACTACTCATTGCTATAGCACCTTTATATATATTGTCTTATTCACCCCTTAACCACTAGTTCCCAGAGCAGTGCCTGATGCATTATTATTTGTTCACATTAGAATTAAAAATCACAAAATATAAAATTTCAGACTGCTTATCAAGGATCAGGTTTTTTCCCCTAAAAGATTGCTTCAGGATGATTATTTGCCATAACCCTTCTGAGTTGTTTAAAACTATTTTTGGATATTGCAAAAAAGAAAAAAAAAACTTTTGAGGATTCATGTAAGATATTTAACATTCATTTTATCAAAGAAGAATTCAAAGATGACTGATTTATTCTGTAGGAGCCCTGGTGGTATAGTGGTTACAGATTGGGCTGCTAACTTCAAGGTCAGCAGTTCGGAACCACCAGCCTGCTGATTCTTTGGAGAAAGACGAGACTTTCCACTCTCACAAAGACTGACAATCTCTGAAACCCACAAGGGCTGTTCTACCCTGTTATGTAGGGTCGCAATGAGTCGGCACCGACCCCATGGCAGCGGGTTTGAAAACTTGTGATAAACAACAGTGTCATTCATTTGTGCATATTCTTTTACGGTGAATTTGTTTTAAAAAACAGCTGATTAAGAACGAAGTGAATTTACTTCGCAAACATTTCTAGGAGGTTCTTGTGTAAACTAGCATAGCCTATTTTGTATCACTATTATATTTTAATATTACTCTTAGATTGGCACTGATTAATAGCAATATGCTTATTAAATCACTTTTACTTTTTTGGGGGGGGGTATTTTTTACTCAAATAATTCTTTCTTTTTATGCCCCTTATTCTATCAACAGTATGTTGTACTTCTTTTTCCCCCAGTTTTATTGACATAACTCCTGTACCATACATTTCAACATTTTAAACATAATAAACAGAGCTTTGTGTTGCTTTAAATTACTAGAATTGAGAGCAAAATAATCTCAGAAAAAAGGCTTTTATGTTTTAAATATTCAATTTTTAAGCTGTTCATTATATTTAGTGTTCTGTAAAAAAACTTTTTTGAGAATATTTTTTAAACAACCTAAGAATTATTTAAAGGAGTACATATTAAATCCAGTGGCTCTAGTCAGAAATGAGTGCTGAAATATAATGAACAGTATATATTTTGAATTTGGTGGGTTTTTTTTAACATAAAGTGGAAATCCTAGTAAAAAATTATACCTAAATGCTTTGTTACAGTTTTATTGTAGTTTAGTTTCTTTTCTTTTTGATAAAAGGAAACTGAAACAGGTACTTTAAAATAACTTTGCTTGTATCATTTAAAAAATTGCATTGGATTTAGATTTGTTTTAGTTGTACTAAGATATGCTGAAAACCTTTCCTGCTATTCCCACTTAATAGTGTAGTTTACTTATTCTTCTTTCTAAGGTTAATGTGTTTTGACTTAAAAGTCATAATTTTAATATGAATTTCATGAGCTTTATGAATTTTTTACTTCAAATTAGTAAAGTAATACAGAAATAAAATTTGGATACTAAACCCTAGAATATGCCTTAAAATAAAGTTTTTATTTTGTTAATACTTATAATAAGCACAATCAAGTTAAGTGTGTTTAAAAAGCCGTTTTAATCAGAATTCGCTATTTAAAATGTGCTTTAGATAATCCCCACACTCAGAGATTTTTTTCAGGTAGATTCAGTTCACAACTTCATTTTACTCCATACTTTAAAAAAGAAGTGACGGTAAATGTTTATAAATGTCAAATGTTTTACTATCTGGGCAAAGCTCCCCTACAGCTTTCTTTAATAAGACACCATATATCTCTTTGAACGTTATCCTTAATATTAATTTAAGTTCCAAAGGAGGAAAATATGAACAATTGACAATTTGTTGACAATTATCAACAGATTACTAATTGACTCTTTGATACTTACATCTTGAGATGGAATATTTATACAATGAATAGTAATTCCAATAAATGGTATTCTTAGTACTTTCCAGACTGGCCCATTTTTTCCACTAAAATTATCTCCTTTCTCACCCCATTCTTTAAAATAT